GTTTGAGGACGGTCCTAACGTTGGACTGGAACCGATGCAATCCCAAAGTAGAAAAAGGAAAAGCAGACGCGCCTGAATCAATTGCTTGCACAACAAAAGTTCGTTCCTGGGGCGTCTGGTGTAGGTCTGGCGTTTTACTTCGCGAGGGAAGGTGAACCTTTCAAGCGGGACTTCCACCACAGAAGCTGTTCAACCAGTTGAAAGATTCGGATCCCTTGGTTCCAAAGAAAACTCCTTGACGACAAAAGGAGGTGAACCGGGGGCAGCACAAGTTGGCGACACTCAACGCTGTATCGATAGCGATCGATAAATAAATAAAACTCCAATATCTTACGACCCCGCTACTAGCCGAGCACTCCAAATTGTGTCGTCCCGAACCTTGAAAAATAACTCGGGCGCCTGTAGAAACCGAGTTCTTTGTTTGAATTAAATCGTATGAGTACTATGCCTCAGAAACTAATTCAAATCAAACGGTGGGATGGGCTTGATGGGAGCCCAAAAAACAGGGAACTTGCGAAACGCTGAGAGTCGATCCGCGAGTTGTTGTGTTGTTCGTCTTTGGTGGGAAACGAATTGAGCGATCTCTGATGGGGAGATCGATGCAGTTAGCTGTAGGCGTAACTGCGACTGTTAATCTGACAGAAATAAATGAAGAATAGATGAATAGACTTAAAGCCTATAGTGCAACTGCTATTTCACAAGAAGATAAAGATCAATTCAGGTAAAACAACATGCAGTGAGAAAAGCGATTGTTGATCACTTTTCCACGCGAATCTCTAGAATTATCGCAGAACGCTGATGACTTAGCATTCTTTTTACTAAATCACTGGCGTGTAACGGTTCATGCACGTGCAACGCGTGCAAGGCACAGGCTACGAGCTCCATTTCTCGAAAAATGCAGGTCTCGGTTTTCGCACGAATTTTTATTTTCACGTGAAACACGTACGCAAACAAGTGCCAATCGAAAAAGGATTGACAACGTTACAATAGCTATACTGTAGGGAAGGATTGGAGATCAATAACTACAAGTTGAATTCATTCTGATTCTGAGATACAATCAATACATTGTTACTAAGTAAGAGGTAAGCTATACTGCTGTTGCTGGTGCTGGAGGGTTGATCATCTCTCCGTCTTTCTTAGAAAGCCCAGTGGGAGTTTCACTGTAATCTTTTCGGATATCACAATGAATGCCATTCTCTATCTTGTTTCCAACAAAATCGTTGCCCCCTTCCGGTGCAAGGAAGTGTCCTACAAACGTTCTCTGCTGCATCCCAAATTTCGTCCTGTTTCAAAACATGGAGGCCTCCCCTCTCTCTCGCGGCTGCACAACGACGTCTTGACATGCAGGGGAACACTGTCAAGTCTAAGTTGTTCATATGCGGCATTTGTGGAGCTTGCGGTTCCCAGTGCCAGCCACGTTGTTCACATTGAGCCTTGCACCAATTAAAGTATTCTTTTTCAGCATGCGGCCCTGCATTGTCACCTTGAAAAACAGGAATGTACACTTTGTATTGTCCTCCTGCCGCCACAAGACCATCCAACTTTTGAAAGATGTCATGCTCAAACAACTTCTTCAGTGCAAACTTTGGATCATCAGGGGTCCCTTCTGACGATCCAGTGACATTACAATCCACCAAGTACAAGCAGTCACAGCAATTCCCACGACCTTGGAAACATGTGATCGGTGATATGCTTTATAGGAGACTCTCTCCTGGATAAAACCACGTCCGGCCGGACGATTCATCCCTGGACAAAAATCAGCTCCAACTTTCACATAATCCTGTAATGTGAAGGGAGCCCTCATATCATCCTCAACAACAATTCCACCCTTGCGTTCTGGGCGTTTGGTGAGGGCGGCGTCAGTCTCTGGCATGTTGCGGATCATTTGAATATTTGCAGCGCGCACGAGCACATGATGAGCCTCGTCTCTGGTTTGCCTCTTTGCTCGTTCTGCCTTTGCCTACGCTTGCTTTTTCACCTCCCGCTCTTCTTCAGCCAGTGTGATTGTTGTTTGTGCTCGTGTGATTGTTGTTTATGTTTGTGTTGGTATTATTGCCATCACTTTTGTTGTTGTCGCTGTTGTTGTCGATGCTGCTGGTGCTGCGGTTGCCGTCATCGTGGTTGAAAGAAATGCTGATGGATAAATTATGAACATACGACGGTCACAATTTCTGTTGCCCGCGCCGTAACTTCACAGCAACAGCAACGACCGCGCCGCTTTTTTCATTGCTTGCTTTTGGAAATGGGCACGTGTCACTCCGATACTAATATCATATCCTGCAGTGACAATGTCGGTATGAGAGTGTTACCATTATAATAGGCATTGGACACTTGACAAGGCCATATTGTCAATGTACGTCGGGTGTTGAATTGACTCAGTTCTTCATTGATGAAGACCTCTATAAACGATGATGGGATAAATCAAAATCTGCTGGCTGTCGGCTTCGGATTGGTACTAATTCTACGTGTTCTACGTGATAATGACTGAACTTCTGATGAAAATCATCCGAAAACCGAGACCTGCATTTTTCGAGCAATTTACCTCGTACACTTCAACCTGGTAATCCTATAGGTCGAGTCACAAGTCCCGTTCCTATTAGAATTCTGTCAGTTCCAGCTATAGTGCCTGGAGCTTCAGCATCCACAAGTGGAGCATCAAGTGTTGCGGGAAGCGTTAACACACCTTTGCGACTTGCTGGTACTACAGGTAATCAAATGATGCAAGTTCCTTCTGGAATGCAGCTCATGCAGA